CTAAATTGTATTTAGTTTAATATAGTTTGAAACCTAGTAATTTCCATCGAAGTTTACAGTGCCAACGGTGTGTAGCACTCCAGGTCCGCCTCGCCACGTACGCGCCTTCTTGGTTCGACAAAAGCAGTGTCCTATCGCCTGCTTGTACCCGTCCTTCTTGTCACAAAGCGGCGAATGGTATAGGAGCCAATCCTCGTACGGACCATTCGGCGATAACGCATGCGCGTCCTCGTATATTCTTCCTTCGTGAGTTTCCCAATGTGCGGCTTTAGCTCCGCCCTAAGAAACTTGCGATGAGTGCCGTCCGCCATCTCCACCACATGAGTGAGTGGAGCCTGTACTCACACCACCTTTGCTGGGCAACCCCACCTTGCTGACAGGTCGTGTGACTTGCCTCGCAACCGATACCATACTTGCGAACCAACCGGCAAAAACGGCACATCTTCACGCCTGATGTTGGCACGAGTCTGCTGTTCCAACTGAGCACTACGGTTCCGCACTGCTGCTACAGCATCGCGGACTATCGTCTCTGTCCCCTTCTCTGATTCCAGCAGCGACAACACCCGATCTTGTAGCTCCAGTCGCTTCTGACCGTTGAAGTCTCTGCCCATCATATAGAAATAGGGCGAGAAACCCGTGACCGAAATACACGTACCATTGCAGATCCTCATTATCTCGTAAACCAGGTGCAACCAGGCATGCAGAGAATCATCTGCTGTTTCTATCTCCCTGCGCAACCAGTCCTTCATCGTCCTGATAAGGGTCTCTGGTGGCCCGTTGCTCTGATGCCGATCCAGTGCGGTTCTATGTTGCAACGCTCGCAGAAGGTCGTAACGTCCCCGTTCTGAAACTTCTTGTCCGCGTCCATCACCAGCCGCGCCGGTGAACCCCACGCTAAGACTTGCTCCTCCATGAAGCGAACCACAGCCGGGCCTTCCATGTTAGAACCAAACTCCCTCGCGAACATCATGCGAGTCTGCGTGTCCACCGCCAATAGCCCTTGGGCTGACCGTTAACCAGGTCAAAGTCCATGAAGTCCATGCTGATCTCTCGCATGGCCTCTTCTGGCCTAGGAGGCTGCTGGAGCAATTCCTTCTGCCTGACACGCATCGCAACTTTGTCGCACATGAGTGCACATCTCCATGGTGCCACTCCAACCCCACAACGTGCATACAAGCTGGTCCAACGGCTTGACACTTGCGTGCGTAAACAGCTCGTGGGCGTAACGTACAATCCGTTCCACGATTGTACCCCCCACTTCCACCCTGAAGACCGAGCGCTTCATCGACTGAAGCCGTGCTCGTTTCACATCTTCATCAGACTCATCCACTGGGTCTGCCTCCCTCCTAAAACGTTCCTCAGCACAAAGAGGTTCCTGAACCTCTGGTTCATGCAAATCCATGTCGTCCTGAACAGGCAGCATGTCGACAATCTTGCTAGTGATCTTCGGAGACTTCGCACTCTGGCTGCGAGTGTACATAGCTCATAAAGACCCTCCATCCTGAGACTTGTCACACTCGTCCAGTTGAGCTTTCGCCTTTTGTACAGACTGCTCCAGCACCTCGCTGGGATCCTGCCAGGACTGCGTGAAAAACGCGCCTACCGCAGAGATGAGTGTGGTCTCTATCCCTGCTTCCTCTGCAGGGAGCACACACCTAACTGTCTTACCACTCGGATGAGTCACAGCCCCCAATGTGTCTTCCTGCACCATACAGGACGCAACCTCATCCTCGCGTTTACTGCCGCCGCCAGAGTAAAATATGTGTAGTCTCTACCCCAGCCTCTTCCGCTGGGAGCCCACACCTAACCCTCTTACCACTTGGATGAGTCACAGCATCCACTGTGTACCATTCTGAGTCGGAGAGTACCATTCT